TTTTTTTTTTTTTTTTTTTTTTTTTTTTTTTTTTTTTTTTTTTTTTTACTACAACTCCCATACAATTCGTAGATAATTTTATCGATGTGAATTTAATTGAAAACGGAGTGTCAAATTTAAAGTTACAATTTTTGAAAGAAAATTCACGACAATAAATGATTCAAAGGAAATATTAAAGGAAATATTGGGCAAAATAATCCAAAAATAAGAGAGAAAGAAACAATGCATAGGGAATATGTATCGAAAAGATTAATGTAATGTATCGATAAGATTGCAATTAAAGGAAAGGAAATTATTAATATGCGTGTGTATCTATAGTTGTTAATAAAAAAATAAATTAATAAAAATAATGATAGTTAATAGAAATTATTATCAAATAATATCATTCAAGTTTTTAAATTTTATATTTTAAAAAGTTTTTAAAAAACACTAGAGAAAAAGAAAAAATACGATACGATGATTGTCACATTGAATACGTATATGATACATACATCGTATGTACGTGTAATAATTTCTCCCTATGATCAAACATTCTATGATCAAACATTCTCCCTCTAATTCTATGCAATTATCCGTTTAAATAAAATCCTAATTAATTAATGTTATTTCTGTATCTCTTATCGCAATAAAAACATTGTTGCATGTTTCTTATTACTGTTGTACAAATTCCAATTTCGAATTTAATTAATTTTAAAAAATTTAAATCAATTCATTATTAATAGAACTATTATTAATCTCATTAGAAATGAAATTAATTATTTATAGAAATGAAATTGTATATAGCGAAAACAACATGACAAGATAAATCATTTTAATATGATAAACATTAATTGGAGCATTAAACGTTTCACTGATTATATAAAATTATTTGTATATTGTTTGCAGAAAGAATAATAACGCATTATCCTTTGTTGCATTTAAATATAGACGTTTAAAATAACTTTCCCATTTCCAATTTTAATACACGACACATGATACGCGATTAAAATAAATTACAAGAAATGATGTAGAATTAGTTCAGGAATATTTTTTTTTTATAAGTGTATTTTTCGCGATAGCTGTCAATAGAAAAATAGGAAAAAATTTCATTCAAAATCCTGAGAATAGTTTCAAAAGCCTGATAATATAAATCTTCTTTGAAAGTGGAGAAGAAGTTTCATAGATTGAAAAGNTTTCATAGATTGAAAAGTTGTTTTTCAAATAGAACCGCATACTTTTTTTTTTTTTTTTAATAAACGAATCGATGTATTTTCTCGAGAAAATATTATTCTCGATCGAAAATTTTGATTTCATTTAAATTACAAAAGCTGTTCATGTTTTTTTTTTGCTTGCAGTTTTGATTTCTTCAAAAAAAAAAAAAAAAAAATCGTAAACCTCCATAAATTGATTTTTAAATTTTTTAAAGTTCTGTTATAATAATATTAATTCAGAACACTTTCTAATTGGATTAATGCGAATAAAAAAAAATCTATTTATTTTTAAAATTATTTACGATTTATGAGATCAAAATAAATTAAATATTTTGCATTGTTGCAGGATATTAAATCGACGATAGCGAAATGTGTCGATGTCAGTTTCGTCGATCAGTTGTTAAACGAGTCGTGATCTTTAACCTTAGGAGAAATTAACATGATTAATTATGATTCATCTATCCTATAAGTACTCAGTTGGACAAAGATTTTTCATCCAGTCGTTAGGTTTTAGTAGTACGGTACGTAACTCTAAACGATTTAAAAATCTGAAATTTCTCCACCAACGATTTAAAAATCTACTCGATAATGAGCCAGCCAATTGTGACCGTGAAGCAAGGTAAATTGAAGGGAGGAATAGTGAAAAATGTTTTAGGAGGAAAATATATCGCGTTCAGGGGGATACCGTATGCTGTTCCACCTGTTGGAAAACTCAGATTTAAGGTATTGTATCATTTATTGTATTTGTAATTAACATTGCTTGAAAAATTAAGAAATTTAAGTTTGAAAGGGACTTTTAAATTTTTTTGAAATTTTCAAATTTAAATTTTTTAACTTTTTAATCGTGTCATTAAATCGTCAAGATCGTTTCAAAATTGACTACGAATATGTAATGTAAAAGTTATGCTTGTGAAACTTTGTTTTTAATGAAAAATATGAGTGGTAAATGATATTTTTCTTTTATTTATATCGACGAATATTGTAAATTTTAAATTGTCAATCTAGCAAATATTAACCACTTTTTTCTTTTTTTATAATTTTCTTTTTTTTTTTAATAAAATTCTCTCCGTAAAAAATTCTTTTTTCGCTTTGAATGGACGAGATTTATAACATAAATTTGTCGCGAAATAAATAAATTATGAAATTTCCTCTTTTAATTTAAACGATAAGACATAGTAAAATGCAAGATAATCGCGAAATAAAGATATTAATAATTTTCACAGATCGATAATTTATCTCTCTTCACTGTGTTTCTCTGTTTTCAATTTTTCTTATTTATTCATTTCGAAATTATTCTGGCATATAAACTATATCATTTGAAATTTCATTATTTTTTCTGTCCTTAATAGGATGAATAAATTAGATTGTTTCTATTATATTTACCTTTTACCTATTTACCTATCGATTTCCAAGCTTGGATCAATCCAGGCCATTAGAAAATTAACGAAATATCGACAACATCGAAAATCTTTCCTCACGATTGCACAAGGATGCTATCATTATTTACTGCTCCGTTTCCAATTAAAGTTTTTAACTTTGTGAAACAACACAGGACCCGATACCGATTGGACCGTGGACCGACGTTAAGGACACCTCGAAGCCCACTCAATATTACTGCCCGCAAAAGCAGATCTACCCACCTTACCAAATCATCGGGTCCGAGGATTGCCTTTACCTGAACGTCTACACCAATTCTCTCGATCAATCGAAACCGGTTATGTTCTGGATTCACGAAGGTGCATTCATATTTGGTAGTTCGAATTTTCAAGACGTGAGGCCCGATTACTTGCTCCCGAAAGACGTGGTGCTCGTCTCGACTAACTACAGACTCGGTGCATTCGGTTAGTTCGCCTTGTCGATTCGATTTGAAAAGCGAGGAGGAAGGAACAAGGATGGAAACGATATTTTTAACGCGTGG